CAGCCACAGCCCAGAAGCCAGGGTGGTTGCAGGCTTTTTTGCAGGCAGCTGCTGGTCTACCCTGCAGCTCTGGAGAAGACAGGTCAGGCAACTGCTTGGGTAGATTACAGCCACAAAGTCTTCCAGAACAGTCCTTCCCTGGAGCACGAGGCCCTCAAGAGCCAGAGGCTGACTCAGTAGCAACTGACATGTTCCAGGCACTGAGCTAGAAGGTGAGACTCGAAGGGGAGCAAACTCAGCAATGGTTCTGTTCTGAGAAGTTACGGGGCTGGTGGGAAACAATCAAACCCTGAAGCCAAATGAAACTTACACAGTAAGCACCAGGAAGGATGATGCAGGTCCTGGGAGAATAAAGTGCTCCCTCGTGGGGAGGGCAGGGCAGGCGTGAAGCGGCTGCAGAGCTGTGATGTCAAGGTGAGCAAGGCTTTTTTTAGGGAAGGGAAGAAAGAGCTCCAGGGAGAGGGACTAGTCCACGTGAAGGCCCATGTGGACTACAGAGACCACGACCAAGGATGGGAAGGAAGCCCATGTGGCTGACACTAAAAATGAGGGGCAGTGGAGGATAAGGTATGGCAGAAAGGGGACGAAGGCAAGGAGATCAAAAGTGGCAGCTCAGATGTGCATTTTAAAAAAGCACCGTGGAGAGTGGACTGTAAGGTTAAAACATCCATTCCTTGAAAGGAACCATCAATAGGCTGGACACCCCACTGGAGACCAGTGATTGGTATTATTACTCAGGACAGTGTTTTATCTTTGTGGATGTTTTGACCTAATTCTTGAAAATTACACACAGAAAGGTATTTTTAAAAATACTAAATACTACTAATAATATTGCCGTCAAGCATGACTCACAATGACTCTATGAACAAAAGGCCTGAAGCCTTTCTGTAACTATCATTATTTATCAAAGGTCATGGCGTTTCCAGAGGCATGTTGTTTTAGGAAGTGGATAGGCTGACAAAAAACTGTCACCTTGACCATCCCTTTCCAAATCCCACTGAAGACTTCTCCTTGCAATCTTAACTGTTCATCTGGTATTTCCTGTTCTCTTTGTACCATCACATGTTTAAAGAGCTATTCCTTTTTCAGCTTTTGTTATTAACGGTTTGCTTCGTACTAGAAAAGACAGACATTTCTCTATCCTAACCCATATCTCCACCCCACTTGCCAGTCTATTCTTATCCTGTCAAGAGTGCACAAAGCATCAGCAGCACTTCTTCAGTCTTCGCATTTAAGGAAAAAAAAAACTCTGACTCATCTCTTACCCCAGTGACCCATCAATCAGCAAAGACAGAACTAGGACACGTCTCTACAGGTCTATCTCTGGGAGGACAAAATCATCTTCACGGTATACCTGCCATGGGCGGAGGTGCAGCAGTAAGGACTCTCACCCCTTTGAACAAAAACGCGGGGCCCTGGTGCCATGTGCTCACGGGTTCCAGCTCACCAGGCTGGCTGCAGAAGCCCTGGCAACCCTCGAGGGCAGCTCGGCTTTCTTCTAGAGTTGTTATGAGTCTTACTGACGTCACAGCAACAGATTTGGGTTTTGGGTTTGGAGGCAAAAACTGCAAGTTTTTTTAATTGGCGTAAAGAAATTCAAAGGAACCGTAGTCAAACAATGTGTTAGTCACAAGGCATTTGCGTTGTTGTTGATATTAGATGCACTGAGTCAGCTTCATCTCACAGTGACCGCCCGCCCCCAGGGGCAGGGGTAGCACTGCTCCACAGGCATGTCATCAGGAGGGGCCAGTTCTGAACAGACGGCATCACGTTTAGAAAGCTAGCGAGCTGGCCAAGGAGAGACGGTCCGTGAGACGGACTGACATAGTAACTGCAAAATTGGGCTTAAAAGATGGGGCAGGGTTTCTATCTGCTGTAAACAGGGTTGCTGCCAGTCATAGTCAACTAGAAGCCAACACCTAACAACAATAACAATCTCGACCGGATCACATGGTTTTTCTCCTGCCGAGCTGAGAAGTAGGTTTGAACACCCTCACATTCAGTTAGCAACCAAGTGCGCCACCAGGGCTCCATTTATCATTTTTCCCAGGAGGCCAAGGCAGTCTTTACAAGACTAGTATCCGTCAGCTGTGTCGCAAAATGGGCCTTCCGCATGCAGCTGTCGTGGATGCAAGTAAGGAAAGAAGTGATTCCTGTCCAGAGCTGGGGAGCTCTGGTGGCCTAGTAGTAAGAAGCTGCGCTGCAATCCCAAAGGCATGTGGTTCGATTCGACCAGCTGTGCCGGGGGAGAAGGATGGCCACTCTCCTCCTGTGTGATTTACTGCCTCTGAAAACCCACTACAGGGTCAGCTATGGCTTGGTTTCAACTCGAAGGAAAATAACAACATCAGAGTCAAGAGAGGAGGGATCTTATTTTGACCCTTTGAGGAAATCAACCCCCAGGGAAATACTCAGAGATAAGAAAGACTTAGCACCAAAATATTATGATAGTATTATTTACAAAATGGAAGATAATATCCGTGCTCCCAAAGTAAGAAAATCGCTGTTTTATTACATCTATAGGATGTGACAGTATAAAGTCATTAAATACACGTTTTCAAAGAACATTTCACACTGTGGGAAAAGACTCAAGATGCATTAAATGAGAAAAACAGTTGAGGCAGTGCAAAGACACATAAAAAAATCCATGTATATAAACATATGTCAATATATATAAAGTTTATACACACACCACACATTTGAGTATAGAAAAGAGGCAATTTTTTTCTTTCATTGTGGTCTGCTGTACATATGTATATTTGCAAATTCATTGCCATTGAGTTGGAATCAACTCTCCTATCTCTGTATACACACGCAAAGAATACTTTGGAAGTATACGGGAGGCTTATTATAAATACAGACTCCTGGGTACCACTGCCGACCTACCTGATCAGTCTCTCTAGAAGTGGAGTCTGGGGGTCTCTGACTCACCCTGCAGCTGAGAACAAATGAACTACAAGTAGCAGCTTTCTCTGGATGGTGGAATTATGACTAATTGTCTTCCCTTTTAATTTTTTTTTAACCTTTTAAAAAAGTCTCCACCGAGCATATGTTGCTCTTAGAATTAAAAGGTCATTAAGAGTTTATCAGTGAAGTGTTAATATTAGACAACTTAGGGTTTACTGTGGGACTGACTCGACAGCAGTAGATGCTGATGAAGTACCTTTAAGAATGGGGCAGTACTATTTTTTATCTACAACACACAAGATACTATCTGAGGACTGCTGACATGTGCACATCCATGTAGGACAGAGAAAGTACCATACTAAGTGTAGACAAGGAATTTACCCTCTCAATAAATTATTCAGGTAAAAAAATACATTTGCATTGTAAAGACAGCACTTCTCAAGTGTTCTAAGACATTCCTCAGCAAAAAGAGGGTTCAATGATCAAATGTTTGGCACACAAACTATATGTACAATAATTCTCAGAACCCATCAGCAAATTATAGGCTCTGAAGGGTCCAGTTTAGACTTTATTCTAATGTGTAGTTCCAAAAATAGAGTAATGTGGCCATTAAGAACAAATTCTAAGGGAGCTCTAGTGGCCTAGTGGTAAGAAGCTATGCTGCAGTTCCAAAGCTGTGCTGTTCAAATCCACCAAATGCTCTGCTGGAGAAGGAGGGGCAATCTCCTCCTGTACCAACTGGATCTGATTCAATAGTATACGCACACAAAATATTAAAAAAAAAAGAACAAATTCTAGTCCAGAATAGCGTCTTACACCATGGGCCTTACATCCAATCCAACCTATCAAATCATTCCCACATTCCCATGGTCTGTGAGGGCTTAGCCCATATATTAATGTACGTACAGGGGCACACACAGTTGATTCTAAGGGTTCTCTGCTCAAGTCAGGTACCGAAACAGTAAACTTTAGAGCCAGACTGAAAGATCAGTTTTCCATGGGACACAATTTGAGAAACAGTGTGGGGCAAAGGATCAGGAACCCCATGCAAGAGAGAAGCAGAGCGCTCAGAAGGAAAAGCTCTTCCGTTCTGGAAAGAGCATTTATTCAAATTATGCTAAAACAATTCTTAATATGGTCATGTATATCAAAGCTCAGTTTAACAGACACCATATCTTTACCTCTAGATTAAAAAACTCGTTGGTGGTTCATCTCTTTCAAATAACGCTGATGTGGCGTCCAAGTCCAACATGTTCACGTAACTAGCTCTTTAGGATTTCTTACAGGATTTGACAAGAAAGGCAACTGGCTACTAATTTTAATAAGGTATTTTCACTTTGTGAGTATAAACCATAATTTGCTTTGTATTTCAACATGTCTGTAATTTGTATTTTGGGCACGGTAACTCCTCACTGTGCAGAACTGGCCCAAATTGTGGCATTTAACACCCCAGCCCTGGACTACTAAATGCCAGCTGTGGTCCTCAGTCACTGCAACCAGGAGAAACATCCCCACAATTTCAAAACCTCCTCAGGGACATAGTATCCACTCGAGAACCATAGGTTTAAAGCAAATTGGGAAGTTCAGTAAAATATTAATTAAAGAGGACACACCTACCATGACCCAATCATGTAAGTATTCTAGCAAAGGCTTTAAGACTTAACATGCTATCTCCAGTCCTGCATGTTCAAAGCCACATTGTACTCCTCTCTATTCTGTTAATAACACAAGCAAATTCAACACAAATTGGCAAAATACCCCAAGCCCTTTGCCAATAATAGCAAGAAGCTGGGCAGAAGCTAAAGGCAGCACTGCACGGAGCACTGGCAGAAGTCACAAAACAAGGAGCATATGTGAAAGTCCGTCATTCTTGCCAAATTTTAATTCGAAAGAAAAGGATGCTGTTCTTTTCCTTTTAAAAACTCTTGGTTACGGAAAAGCTTGCTCCTTCTGAGTGAGTCAGTTCAGCGATGCAGCCATCCTTTGAAGGATCACAGACCCCAAATAATTTAGACCAAACAAGAACTCCAACTGGCCTGGCGGTTCAGTAACACAGCCACCGACCCGTCCATCTGCAGTCGGGAACGCTGGTCTCATTTCTTGAGTGGAATGCCAATCACCATAAAATCTTCCGCAAGAGTCACTTCTTGGAGATCTAGCACTGATTCGGCTTGCTTTTTCAGTTCTGCGATACCATCTGTTTCTCCTTCTTTGGCCAAGGCAACTGGTTTGTACCTCTGACTGAAGTGAGTCAGAACCAGCCTCTTTGCTTGGCACTGCTTCGCAAACGCTGCGGCCATCTGCGGTGTGCTGTGGCCATGCTCCTTGGCTTTGTCCATCTGGGTGTCATCCAGGGTCGCTTCGTGGATCAACAGGTCAGCTTCGGAGCACAGCTTCACCCCTCCGTCACCCACGACCCCTGAACAATCACCCAGGATGCAGATTTTTCTTCCAACGACTGGCTTTTTTAAAACATCTTGGGGGAAAATTGTAACCCCATTTTCCAGAACAATAGAAATTCCATTTTTCAGCTTCCCATAGGCAGGACCTGGTGGAATACCTAGTGGTGAAGACAGGTAACAATTTATCACAGGAATGGAATTTATGACTTCGCCAAGGATTTGCTTTTAAACAGCAGAGTAAAGAAGAAAGACATTCTTCCCCCCCCCCCTTTTCATTATCCTTGTAACTTGTTCTTACTACTAATGGAAAACTGGAATGAATATATATATATATTTTAAAAACTCAATGCTATCTATTGCTATCAGAATATCCTAGTGGTTAAAACATTCCTCCCGTATGTGTCAAATGAGTTGTAAGCTCCTAAATCTCACTAAGACTTCATGACAGTCAAGGTAACAGCCTTGATTCTCTGTTCTGCATTATTTAATAAACTCATCTCCGAGTGAAGTGAGTCTGTTTAAAGAATAACACGATCAATATTTAGAGTCAAAACCAACCACCCAGCCCACTGCTGCTGAGTGGAATTCTGACAACTACCTTCAGGCCAGAGTAGAACAGCCTCATGGGATTATTAAGGCTGTAACTCTTTAGAGAAGTTGACTGCCACCTTTTTCTCCTGTAGAGCAGCCAGTGGGTTCGAACCACCAACCTTCTTATTAGTATGTAAGCACTTAACCACTGCATCACCAGGGCTCCTTTGGTTAAAGCAGGTAAACAGGCTAAATTAATAAAGATGCTATTAGAGGAGATTGTTCTGATCACAAGATTAAAGAGAAGTTCTGGGAAACATATGTAATGCATCTTCCTAGGCAGGCAGGGGCAGTTCCACATTTACCAAACGGGGTTTAAATCTCATTCTTATTAACATAGAATAGCAGCTAGTGGTTATGCTGGGCAAAGCTTACATAAAAATAAGACTGTTATCATCACATGTTGTTATCATCAACATGTAAGCTCAAAAAACTCACTGTTCCTTAGTTGGAACTGACCCACGCTGACCCCACGGCAGATTTCCAGAGGCTGAAACGTGCGTGGAACAAGGGAGCCCATCTTTCACCCTCAGGGTCCATGGTGGATTTGAACCACCTGACAGGGGATGCCAGTGGGTTAGGAGTGCAACTCTCTATGGGCCACGCCACCAGGGCTCCCTAATTTCAATAGAGATCATGTTTAAAGTTTTCAAATATAACAATATAGGGGAGCTCTGGTGGCCTAGTGGAAAGGAGCTGCAACTACAATCCCAGAGGCGCACGGTTCAAACTCACCAGATGCTCTGCCGGGAAAGGAGGGACAATCTCCTCCTGTACCAGTCAGATCTGATTTGACGGTACACTCACACACACACACACACACACAAAAAAATAGAACAATATTTCTCCAGGTTTGGGGTAATATATTTCATGTGGTCAAAGTCTCCGTTTCTCAGGATCTGGCATGACGAAGAAGGAAAAAACTGTGCGTAGAAACAATCACACAAAAAAACATCACCATAGTTTTCCTAATCTCTGCTGTGGCCGAGCACTGTAGTGATGCTGGAGGTAAGAGGGGCTCAGACACCGCTCCACAAAAGGTGCAGGGGCCCCCTTTCATGGGAGATGGCCCACACAGAGGGGGTGTGGAGCCTTACAAGAGCTCTGACCCCATCCTGTGTGTGCTTTGCTTTTGATTGCAATAAATGAACCCAGGTTTGTAAAGTCAGTTGAGGGGGAGTGTTCTGACTACTGGACCAAACAAGGCTGAAGCACAAAGCAACTGATAAAAGACAGGCAGTTGACGATGCAGGAATTTGAAGAACTGGGGCAGAAAAGTAAGGGAAAGAAAGCCCCCCAAAACCACCACAGGTTAAAGATAGCCTCAAAAATACTGTTCAAATTAAGACAGGAGCGCAGAAAAGCCTAGATATAAAACCACCATCACCCTCCACCCGAGCCTCTCCTGTGACTGAAAAGAGCACAAGTTACAGGGAGGACCGACCAGGAATTGGGGTTCGTGGGGCTGATGAGAAGTACCTTTAAATGCACACTTGGTTTGTGGTCTGAAGAGCATTCTCTGGCTCCAAGGCTTTACCTTAACACTAAGCAAACCCTGGGCAAAGGAAAGAGAGAAAGCATCCGTCTCCGACCTGGGAAACAGGAGGAAGGAAGACCCCTGGCCCTTTTCACAGGCTGAGTCAATACTAATTTGACTGATGCGAAGAGAAAAACAACAACTTGAACTTACCGAGATCTTTCAGTTTCTGCGCATTGAGTTTACCCGGGCGTTTCTTCTCCATGACAGAAAACCCAAAAGAGGGAATCCGGTGAAAGAGGCGAAATGCTTTCACCACAAACTGTTCATCATCGACCAAGAGGTAGGAGTCCTCTTCCGAGTCTAACAGGATAGTCCGCCCTTGGCCCTCTGTGGGAGGGCTGTCTGCTGGCTTCACGGGGGTGAAGTCTTTCTGCTCGTCTGCAGGACACTGATCCTCGGTGGGCACCAGCTCGTGGACCACGTACGGGAAGACCAGCTCGGTGTGAGAGAGTTCCATGGTCCGCAGCAGGAAGTCCCGAAGGCCCACTGGGCCGTAGATTTCGATGGGCTGTTTGGTGACCACAGGGCCACTCTGCAGGCTGATTGTACACAGGAGCCCGGGCAGGCCGAAGAAATGGTCACCGTGAAGATGAGTGATGAAGATCTTGGTAATTCTTCCTTTTGATCAAGAGAAAGGAATAGCATTGGGGATCTTTCAGATGTGAAAAACCCACACAAAGGTGCTTGAAGCAGACGCCACAACCCCCATAAGATCAGCTTACCATAGAGAACTTGTTCACATTTTACTGCATGATTCCAGAAGAGAGACAGACAGATGGGTTTTTATTTCATTGGACCACTTTTTATTTTTTCATAAAACACATTATATAGTTTTGTTGTAATTTTCTGAAAATTTTCCTATATATCTTCTCACCTAAAGATAAATAAAATACATACAAGGGCACCAAAATAATTTACCTAAATAACAGTTGTTGTTAGGTGCCATCGAGTATGACTCACAGCGACCCTATGAACAACACACCTGAACCCTGTCCTATCCTGTGCCATCCTCATCATCTCTGACACACGCCAGCCCACTGCTGCAGTCGCTCTGTCAGTCCATTTTGTTGAAGGTCTTCCTCTCGCACTCACACTGCTCCCTCTGAGAACAGCAACCATACACTTGCAGCAAAACAAATATTCCACTGGCCCCAAATGACTGCATCAGTGTCTGAACCTAAAACTGCCTTTTAAGGACTCTGTACCCTGGATAGGGATTTATCAGCCAAGTCAGATTCTTCTTGTTTGGAGGAAGCTGCTGGGGGGCAGGGAGAGTGGGGAGGTGACACAAAAGGAGGAGCCTGAAAGAGGGAGAGGGCTGGGTCGTGAGCAGAATGGGGAGACGAGAAAGGAACAAGCTAAGGAAGGCACAAGAGAAGTGGTGGCCTGTCGACCCCAGAATGAAGATCAGAGAGAGGACGCGCTCTGGAACCCTGTCCAGGTACTGGGGTCTACCTCCTCCGTTCAGTCTAAACTAACACAACACGGTTTTTTCAGTATATATCGGCTTAGGCTGTAAGCTGATTTAGCCAGTGGTGAAGGGAATTTGCTGCAGGATGTCAGATCAGCATTTTTCTGAGATGGACCACAGAATTGTAACGAACACATTTTCAGTGTAACACAGGCTTTCACATCAAGCTCATGGTCTATATATTTCAAACATGAATACCAAAGAAAAAGCACAGTTTATTTGTAACACGGTTACTAACACCACCAAGCAAAAGTGTCCTTCGAGTGTGTCTTCTAGTGTTAGCACACCAAGTCTAGGTCCCATGAGCAGAGGGTACAAGGTCAGACTGCAGCCACGTCTGGACCCTGAGATCCCCAAGAGACACCCTACAAGTTTCCTCACGCACCTCATTCTTTGCCCTTGTTAGCTCTTGCTTTTGATGTTCTTTGATTCAAGAACGCTTTGGTTGCCCCTTCCCCCGTCCAGGCTGCCCAGCACCTCCAATATGTCCTGAGGCCTCTGGAGGAGACGCACAGTGAGCACTGCTGCCTCCCACAGGCATGCTGGCCTCAGCACCCCAACGGCAGGAAGGCTGGGCCCTCTCCCTGCCTCTGCAGAACAGAGTCAGAAAGGAACTCGGAAATAACCTGCTCACCCAAGCCAAGTGAGACGAACTGAGTAAGTGGAGAACTGTGTCTCACAGTTATCACAGTTTCATAGAAGACAAACATTTCCATTTTGAAGAAACTTGATTTCACAGGGACGAGAAACGGGAACCAAAATTAGCAAAGGTATGAGGAAGTGATCAAATGAGGAGAGAAAAATGCATGAGTTCTCTTTTGCCTGAGAACAAGAAAGTTCTAGGGAGGGAGGGGATGTCATCCATGGAGGACGAGGGTCCTCAGCCTGCATTGAAAATGGTGAAGCCGTCACACTGACTGCTGCCATGGGGGAAATGTCCGTGTTCATATATACTGTTCAGTGAAAAAAGGCAGGTTAGTATTGAACATACCACGGACTGCCAGGAGAACAAATACATCTGTCTTGGAGAGGGTGAAACCAAGTTTCTCCCTGGAGGCAAGGATTTTGCAGCTCTGTCTCACATTCTTCAGGTACGTGGCCAGGAGGGACCAGTCCTTGGAGAAGGACATTATGCTTGGAAGGGTGGAGGGGAAGTATGAGAGAGGAAGACCTCAAACGAGATGGATTGACAGGGTACCTGGGACAAAGAGATGAGGTGTGTTGGAGACAATGAAACTGGCTCAGGACAGGGCAGGGTTCAGAGCTACTGTACAGAGGGTCACTACAAGTCGAAGGCGACTTGATGGCACATAACAGCAACAGCACCTACTATGACACCTACTATGATCCCATTTATGGAAAAAGTATGCACACACATGCACATGTCCAAATAGACCCTTGTTGCTGTTCTGGTTGTAGTTGTGTGCTGTCGAGTCGGAATCGACTCAGAGTTGACCTTCCAACAGGTTTTCAGAGGCTCTACTTCACATGGGAGGAGACTGTCCATCCTTCTCCCACAGAGCAGCTGCTGGAGTCAAACACTGTGCCTTTGGGATCACGGCACAGTTTCTTACCACTAGGCCACCAGAGCGCCCTAAAATACACCCATACCACTACTGTATCCACATGGGCAGAAAACATATGGATGAGAAAAGGAGTCGGACTTTTTCTTCCTTATACTTTTCTACTTGATTTGAACTTTCAAAATGAGCACATAAACTCTTTATGGTTATTTTTAAAGATATTACACCTTTTACCACTTTATAATCCCTTTTTGAAGTGGAAAAGAAGGCTTATGCTCATTTATTTAAATTATGAAAGAAAAAGACATGCAAACTCATTAACCAGATGCTTACATACTGAAGCACGGAACCTTAAAATAAGCATGTTTGGATAAAAAGAAGGTATTTCCCTACCAAGCTCGTAAAACATTACCCCAGGAGGCAGTGTCAGTTCTAAAGGGTTTCAAGAAATCAAATACTAAGAGAAACCCAGGTCTACCAAAGCGGCTTCTGCCCAGCCGGAGTGCGCAGGCATAATGCTTTGAGGTAATAATTTTTTTTTTCTCCAAGTCAATAAAAATTCAGTAAATGAAAAGTCTCCTGGTTCCTGTTTTTGCCAGGTTTAGCTGCATATGTTTTTGATATACAGGATAATTGTGAAGTAGAAAACCATTACTGAGGTTGTGAAAGATTTCAGGTGGCCTCCACGATCCCCGCGTCCTGCTGCTCCCACCCTTCGATGATCCCCTTGGAGTGTGGGTGGGACTGTGACTTGCTTCTAAGCAGCAGAAGAGGACACAGGGCTGTGACGCTCTGCCATGGAAGACTCCATCCTGTACGTCCGTTCGCTCTAAGGCTCCTCCTTTAGCTTTCTGTAAGGAAGCAACCATGAACACAAGGGCTTTCGGTAGAGAATGCTAGGAACCAAGGGCGGCCCTCGTCCTAAATCCTGACAACTGCAAGGATTCCGCCAACAGCCCAAGTGAACGCAGGAGCAGATTCTTCCCCAGTGCCGACGCTGACGAGATCAACATCCCAAGCAGCACTGGACTGCAGCCGGGTGAGACTCTGACCCCAAACCTGAGGTTCCAGCGGGGATCCGAGGATCCCGGACTCCTCAACTCACAGGAATTGTGAGATGCTAAATGCCTGGTTTTTTTACACCTCCAGGTTTGTGGCAATTTGTTACAAAGTGTTAGATAACTCATACAGGTAAGAAACAAAAAAAGGAAAGATTCACTCTCCTATCTAAATTCTGAACGATATTTTGTTTCTGTTTAATCCACTTCCTATCCCTGCCCCTGCCCCCCACTCTGTAAAATATGAATGATCACAACCCCCACTCTGGACCGCATCTGAGAACACTGCTGAGAGGCCTATCGGCGGGATTCCAGGGGCCTGTGGCACACAGAACCTGCTCACATGTCAGGAGTTCAACACCACAGAATTACAGGTGAACTTGTGCATCTCAAGGTCCTGTGTCCCAAGCCCCAGGCACTAGTTCCTTCCCCCTACAGCTCTTTTCCTGATCAGCACATTATCACTGGTAACCTGAAATACTTTTCAGTTCTTCACTTCCTCCCAACCTAGATAATCAGTCATCACTTTCTGTTGGGCCCACAAGTATCTCCTGAGTTCTTGATCTCCATCTCTGCCCCGACTTCCTGCTTCAATGCATTCATCTTCTCTCTCAGATGCATGCCAACTGCCTCAGAAATGGTATCCCACATATCACTCTTTTTCCCAGTTTACTTGCTATCAGAACGCTCTATCCTAAAAACACAAGTCTAATCATGTCATCCCTATGATTAAAAGCTTCTAATGGTTTGTTAAAATAATAAAATCCAAATTACCTTAGCATGCTACAGAAGTCTGCAATGACTGCCCTTTCCAGCATCTTAGCCTCCTACCCAGGAACTCAGTGCTCGGAACAGTTTACTGTTCCCCAAACATGCCATTCCTTTCCTGGAAATTCACTGACTTCTTGCTCCCTTTGTTGTCTCTTCCTGGAATATCAATCTCCACCACTCTTCCTGGAGATAACCCTATTCATCTCTTAGACCTGAATTCAGATGTCTTTGTCTTGGGGTTGATTTCTCTGAACATGCAGGTGGCTGGCATTATCCTCCTCCACACTCACAAAGTTCTCAGAAGCACCTCTGTCATTCTGCTGCTCTCTCTGCACCTCAGTTTCCACCATAAGAATTCAACAGAGCCTCAGACCCTGGGAGTATCCTGCCTAAGTCATCAAATGTCATCCACTGTGATGAGTCCTAGCAATATTAATTTTCATAGTTGTCATCTATCAAGACTTAAGTTACAATAGGAGAGGTCTGGTGGCTTAGTGGTAAGGAGTTGAGCTGCCAATCCAAAGGTATGCGGTTCAAATCCAATCCACCAGGTGTTCTGCAGAAGCAAGATGGGCAATCTCCTCCTGTGCAATTTACTGACTCTGGAAACGTGCTGGAAGGTCAAATATGAGTCAGATTTGACTCAGCTGTACATACCAACAATTGGCATTATACAGATGACACATCTTTGCTTGCTGAAAGCCTCTGGCTGACAAGAAGACAGACACAGCAGTATCGAGCCACACATACACCTCCTGCAGCTCCACTCAGCAGGCAAAAAAGCCAAAGCCAGCTACTGCTTCACCTGCTGCATGAAGCCAAAACCAGCACGGGCCAGTCCAGCCTCAACCACTCTATGCAAAACACAAAGAATGGCATGCACAACCCCACCCTCTATCACACCCCCCAAGAGCACAACAGGTGAAACATGAAGGAATTTACAAATAAGCAAGTGGTGCAGCACACGTGCACAGCTCAGATAAATCAAAGCAAAATAATACAAAGACAGAAATACAGAGGCAAGAGACAACTTTAAGCCATTCAAAACAACAGGACAAAATGGCACAGAAGGTGATGAAAACATAGAAACAGAAAATCTTTCAATGGAAGACATGCTGTTGGATCTTCCTAAGAAGGAATTTGTGTTTATTGACTATGCAAAGGCATTTTTTTGGAAGCAGGAATGGCATCCACTTCCTAAACAACATGCCTCAAGAAACTCTATGAACTTTGATAAATGTTGACGGTTGTAGAGGGGCTCCAGGCCTTTTGTTCATAGGGTCGCTATGAGTCGTGCTCAATTCGAAGACAATCAATAACTCTCTCTATCTATCTCTCTCCTTTTGGGTTGATACATGGCACCTGGTACAACATGGATAAGTCATGCTTGACTCAAGGCAATCAATAAACAACAACAAAGGCATCTGACAAACCACGGCTTACATTGAGAGAAATGAGAATCCCACTGAATTATGCTCAAAGTCTGTATCTAGACTAAGCAGCTGTTATCTAAACAGAGCAAGACAACAATGTTGTTGTTATTGTTAGGTGCCATCCAGTCAAGTACGACTCATAACAACCCCATGAACTAAAAGATCTGAACCTTGCTCTATCCTGTGCCATCCTCACATTTCCTGACACATAAGAGCCCACTGCAGCAGTCAACCCATTAATCCACCTAGTCAAAGGTTTTCCTCTCCTTCACCAACCCTCCACCCTTCCCAACAGCATGTCCTTCTCCAAGAAACAGCCCCTCCTAGCAACATGCCCCAAGTATGTGAGGTTATTCTTGCCTCATCGTTCTTGCCTCCAAAGAGCACTCTGGTTGCACCATCTCCAAGACTTATCTGTTCGGTCTCTTGGCCTTCCATGGGATGGTTTCCAACACCATAGGCCAAAAATGTCAATTCTTTTTCTGTCATCCTTATTCACTATCCAGCTTTCAGATGCAGAGCAAGAGACTGGCCTGAATCAGATGCACCTTAGTCCTCAAACTGACATCATTACTCCACAATAATTTGGAGAGGTCCTTTACTGCAGATTTTCCCCGTGAAATGCTTCTCCTTATTTCCTGACTGCTGGTACTAAGGGTGTTAATCATTAAGCATCTACTAAATGTATAATTACAGGAGATGTTCTGCTAACCCAAAGGTGGCCCTTCCCTAGCAGTTCAAATCCACTGACGACTCTGAGGTCAAAACCGTGAACAATCTCCTGTGCGCCTGCTGGAGGGTCAGGTCAGCTCTGATCCTACAGGAGTGAGCGAGTCAGTGAGTGAAATATGTAACTGACCACTGACAGTGAACACAGAAATAACTATTTAGGTAATATAGACTAAGACACTGGTGATACTAAAAGTCAATAAAATAGAATACAGTGATAGAATGACGGGGCTGAGGGAGGAACCACACACCCAGGAGGCTCAGGAGGATCCTCTGGGGAGATGACAGGAGAGGGGAGAGCAAAGCCATAAGGAAGCGACCACACCGAGTGGCATCCTTACACGGAACCCTCCTAACATTCCATCTCTGTAGAGCTCCTCCTCATTTTCAGTGTAAGAGAAGCTTTAGAACACTTTGCTGCATTAGTCACAAGCCTAAGAGGGAGCTGGGACTGGAATCCAGGCTGGCCTGACCGGGCCAAGGCCTTTCACTGTGTGTTCTCAGTCACTCTGGTGCTGGACCTTTGTCACTCACTCCCCCTCTGGCTAGAATGTCCTTCTCTTCCGCATTCTTCAACAACGCAAAGGTCACCTTCAAATGTGCCCTCCTCCCTTTCACCTGGGCTTGCATGGCTCTGCTGATAACTCTCTCTTACTGAAAATAAGCACATGTATACAGCACTCTGGTTACCCAATGTGGACAGAGTGGGGTGGAGCTCCCCAGTGAAAACAAGCTTGAAGGAGGAGTGGCATCCACTTCCGTAATAGCTTGCCTCCGGAAACCCTACGAACCTGGAGAGAGGATGAAAGGCACCCAAGCGTTGAGGATTCTCCCTCATAGGGTCGCTAGGAGTCACCTGCGACTGCACTTAACAACAACAACGTACAGCCCTCAGAGTCAGCTGACTCTAAGAATGGGAATCCCAGAACACTTGATCGTGCTAATGCGAAACCTATACTTGGACCAGGAGGCAGTCGTCAGAACAGAGCAAGGAAACACTGCATGGTTCAAAACTGGGAAGGGTGTATGCCAGGGATGTGTCCTCTCTCCATACCTTTTCAACCTATATCCAGAACAGATTATCCGGGAGGCTGGGCTCTATGTGGCATCAGGATTGGAGAAAGATTCATCAACAATCTGCATTATGCAGATAACACAACCCTGCTTGCTGAAACTGAGGACCTGAAGCGCTTGCTGCAGAGGATCAAGGACTGCAGCTTTCATTATGGATTAAGGCTTAATATCAAGAAGACAAAGATTCTTACTACCGGGCCAACTGGCAGCATCAGGATGGATGGTGAAAGATTGAGATTGTTCACAGCTTTAGTTTGCTTAGCTCCACAGTCAACACTCTTGACACCAGCAGCCAGGAAATTAAAGAGGTACTGCGATGGGAAAGTCTGCTGTTAGGGACCTCTCCAGGGTACTAAAGAGCAATGGTGTCTCTCTGGAGACTAAGGTGCACCTGATACAAGCCATGATCTTTGCAATCATTTGTTATGCATCAGAAAGTTGGACAATGACTAGGGAGGATAGAAGGAGAATTGATGCCTTTGAGTTGTGGTACTGAAGAGTATTTAATGTACCATGGACTTTTAAGAAAACGAACAGGTTCATCCTAGAAAGGGTTAAATCAGGCTGCTCCTTGGAGGCAAGGATTCTGAGGTTTCGTCTGACATACTTTGGACATGTTGCAAGGAGGGACTGGTCCTTGGAGAGAGATGTCATGCTTGGGAGGGTAGAAGGACAGCGCAGGAGGGGAAGACCCTCTATGAGGTGGACTGATTCAATGACTGGGGTAATCGGGGTGGGTGTGTCTGAAACAGTGAGACTGGCACAGGACAGAGTAGGGTTTGACAGCACATAACAACAACATACAGCCCTACTTAACAAGACGGCTAATATGCCCTAGGGAGCTCTGGTGATCTAGTGGCAAGTAGCTGTGCTGCAATCCCAAAGGCACACGGTTCAAGTCCACCAGCTGCTCCATGGGAGAAGGATGGGGAAATCTCCTCCCGTGTGATTAACTGTCTCTGAAAACCTGCTTGAGGGTCTGCTACGGATCTGTTCCGAATCAATGGTACACAACAACAACAACACCATGCCCTGTGTAGCCCATTCCACACTCCATCCAAGTCTAGACATATCCTTGCTCTCAACATTCACAGGATGAATGAAAAGCAAATAAACAAACAAGCGAGGCTCAGCGGCTGTGGCCAGGGGGCTTCCAAGTCTTGTGAGGGCTCCAGCACTTTCATGGAAGCAACAGTCAGGCTCATTTCTGAAGAGCAGAAGGGTCAAAGAAGGCCAAGAAAATGATGCACAAGCAGAAAGTGTCGCAAGGAGACAGCAGAAAGCACACTAACCTGCTTTAAGCTGGCTTTTCATGAGCTGTGTCTGAGTCCCCTCGCCACAGTCAAAGAGCCAGCATGCGCCCTCAAACCGAAGGACCAGAGCAGAAGCACCCCGGGTCGGGGACGGGTAGGCTGCGCCTGTCCCCAGAAACGTCACATCCATGGACATCTTCCTCCCTGCAACAGAAACACCACTGGGGCATTAATTCATGAGCAGCTCACGTCCCCAAAGAAAGGTTCCCGTAAGATCACGGGAATTTATCTCCTGGTTATTCTGAACGTCTGGATTCCTGTTTTCGGCTTGTTTTCCAACACAAATCCAATGTAAGATTTTTAACAACCTGTTATAGGGGTTACGCTGCTAACCCAGCTGCTTCTTGGGGGGACAGCTGGAGTGGCTCCCATAAAGATGTGCACCCTCAGAACCTGACAGCAGGGAGTCATGAGTTAGAACTCACTCCAAGGCAGTGGGTTTGGGTTTGGTTTCAGAACTACAGAGTCAAGAACTCTAAATTGTGGTGTTGAGGAAGAATATAAAATATACCACGGAGAGGGAAAAGACACTATTAAACAACTAAGGTGTCAGAAAAGGAAGAAGAAAAATATATATATATATCTCATATATATACTCCTTGGAGGCAAAGATTCTGGGGCTTCGTCTGACATACTTTGGACATGTTGCAAGGAGAGACAGGTCTTCAGAGAGTGACATCATGCTGGGTAGAGTAGAGGGACAGCGCAGGAGGGGAAGACCCTCTATGAGGTGGATTGATTCAGTGACTGGGGTAATCGGGATGGGTGTGTCAGAGGCAATGCAGTTGGCACAGGATAGAGCAGGGTTTAGGGCTGTTGTACATAGGGTCACTATGAGTCGCAAACGACTCGACGGCACATAACAACAACATATATATATATCATGGGCTTCCAAAAGCACAAACAAATCCGTCTTGATGAGCAGCTAGGGTGTTCTTTGGGGACAAAAAGGACAAGGTTTTATCTCACAAAGCATGGGCATGTTCCCGGAAGGGACCGGTCCCTGAAGAAAGGCCTCGTGAGGGCAGAGGGTCAGTGGAAAAGAGGAAGAGCCTCCACGAGATGGTAACACAGGAGGGGCAGCACCGGCTCCAGCACAGCCCGCTGAGAGGCGTCAGGACCAGCGTTCTATTCTGTAGTGTCCACAGCACCATCAGCTGTAATGGACTCCACAGTAGTGGGTTGGGTTGGGGGTGAACTGACTAAAACCACAAGCTATCAAATACTGGGTGACCACGAAACAGAAGTAAAACAATGCAGCCAAACAAAGTCAGTTAAAAATGGCAAGTGAAAGGGAGCTCTGGTGGCCTAGTGGCAAGACGCTACACTGCAATCCCAGAGGTACGCAGTTCAAATCCACCAGATGCTCTGCTGGAGAAGGAGGGGGCAATCTCCTCCTGTAACAGTCAGATCTGATTTGACGGTACACGTAAAAATAATACAATAAAAAAAAATGGCAAGTGAGGTTCTGGACAAGAAATGGACTTTAATTATGATCGACAAGTGGAAGCTCTGGGGCTTCCTGAACAACTCGAAGGAGAGATATGATTAATACTTCACTGTAATGTGGAATGGGTGTCTCACTGGTTCAAATGACAGGGGCCATGACAAGTTGGGACTTCAAAGCCTGTGCTTCAGGATTCCAACTTACAGCAACTCTATAAGGCAGCACAGAAGTGTCTACAAATCTTGCTCTCTCAGAGCAGCTGACGGATCGGAACCCACCAACCTTTCAGTTACCAGAGAAGTGCTTCCCCACTGCACCACCAGGGCTCTAGGTTAGGACCTGGGACTCGGCGAGTCTAAGTGATCAGCAACCACCTGCTGAATGTGTCGATTTCGACCCACTGTGGGCTTTGCTTTTTACTTCTCTCACTGTTTCGGGCTACATCTCCCATCTCTGACACACTTCTGTCATGGGAAATGCACATCAGAAAGAACAAATAAATAGAAACTGATAGATTACCAATTACAGATGATCCACATTGATGGGAGGGAAGAAAACAAATAATTTTAACATTTATATAATGCTTACACAACTCTCATACATTACTGGCAGTAGAGGGATGAATCATTACGATATTTTAGGAACATGATGTAGGATATATATTACCAGTTATAATGATGAGGGTGATACCACCACCCAGCTAGACTAGCAATCCCATTTTGGGGTGCTTATCCCACAGAAGCAAATGCTCTACATGGAATGATGCTTACTGTGGTCAGATTGAAGATGACTGAAAACTGGAAGCAATCTGAATATCCATCAATAGGGAAATGGTTCACCATTTCATCGTTTATCCATATCATGAACGATCAATCGATCCTGCTGCTAAGAGTTGGGGCTGCAACTATCGCCCTCGAATGATCGCAGTTAAGAGATGTCAATGAAATGATCTAATTTTTAGGACATAAATCTCCAAGGCCTAAGAGGGAGAAAGCCAGCAGTGGGAGGACACACATGACATTGACATTGTTAATACTGCTGAGGGGCTGGGGTGACAGAGTGGGTAACTTCTACCAGCGGCACTGAAGGGGGTCAGTCAGAAAGTCTCTTCCCATAAAGATTTACAGCCTTGGCTGCTGTTGGCATGGCTGATGGAGGCTAGTCGTTGAAACTGACTTGACAATAGGTTTTTGGTTATTGATTAATATTGTGTATCTAAAGGGATGATTACAATGGGGGATAATAAATTCTAAACTTTTAGGCTGTTTCTGATTACACTGAGCTGTACAAATTTTTATAAGAATAGTTTACACTAGCAAAAATTTTAAAATGCTATCATAAGGCATAACTTGTTTTTAAAGCACACTTGATAGAGGCGTCTCTTCCATTCTGGGATACAGTCAGCTCTCTTCTCCTGTCCCACACCCCGCAAACAAAATGAGGATGCATTTCTGTCCTGCACACAGACCTTGAGGTTCTCTCTAGTGTCCCTTCCAAGTGTTACTATGCATTTTCACCTCAAAGATTAAGCCTTCCTCTGGTAATTAAGCTATTAATTTGTAGAGGCTTCCCTATTGGATTGCAGTTTGCAAGAGGTGAGAATAAACAGAGCATAGAAAGTTGAGATTAAAATAAAGCAGTTACTGAATGTATCAGAAACAAGAGATGATCATCTCTTCGTAAACTCTGACAAATTATGGGTTGAGGCTAGTGGCACCCAACCCAGTGAGCAAACCAGAATCTTCTGGAGGGCTTTTAAACCTGCCAGTAACTGGGCTCCATCCTAGGACAATATAGGAAATTCTCTGAATGAAAGAAACATGTGCTTGAAACACATATATGCCTTTCCCAATGATCCTAATAAGCAGTCAAATTTATGAATCACTTAGTCAAAGGATAAGTGATCACTATAATCAATGCCCAAGCTGACCTACTAGTTAGTCAACTAATTTCTTCCTAAAAAAAAACTAGTGAGCTAACTCACTAGTTAGGAGTCAAGTAATTTTTCACGAAAAATTTGTTATGAAAACTCCCAAGCACATACAAAAGCAAAGAGCAGCATAAAGCATGTATCTATCATCCAGCTTCAGTGGTATTAGCTTATGGTCAATCGTGTTTTCTCTCTATTCCCACTCCACCTCCTTCCTCCAAGGATATCTGATAGGTGGCATTAGGAACTTCCATCAGGAGGCACACATTGTCTGGCTGTCTCTTTTGAAGTTAGTTATCTATCAATGGTCATTGCCAGGATCCATTACTTCATTAGGAACTGTCAAAGGTGGCATTATAATTATTTTTCCTTTTACAGTTATTAGATGCCATGCTTCTAAAATTGCCTCGGCAATTATTTAGTTATTCTGTGGTGCAGTTTGCAGATGGGAAAGTCCACTGATTCACTCCAACACCACAAAGGGAAACAAGACCTTATCTAACTCCTAACGAAAACCCACAGCAGCTCCGGGGAAGTTTCTGTGCCAAAAACCAGAACTTGAATCGGAAAATCACCCACTGAGCTTAACACCAGCTTCTTAAAGAGTACCAGAGGGAAAAAAACCCCAACAAACTCCAACTAGCATGTGAGAAACTTCTTATGACATAGGACTTGAAGACTGGAAGGAAAAAGTGGGTAGGGGACACCTGTAGATTGATGGAGATTTAAGACACTGTTGCTTCTTGTGTATCCCATAGTTAGATAACTCATAACTGACCCCCCAGCGAGTCTTCAGAGGCAGTAAATTCCAAAGGCGTTGACTCTGCCCATCTTACTCCATTGGAGCACCTGATAGATTCGAACTGATTACCTTTGTGTTGGCAGCACAATTCCTTACCACTAAGCCACTAGAGCTAAATGCAACCTGAGTATCTTGGGAGAATTCTGATTTAGGCAAAGTGACAGTGGAAAAGAGATAGTTTGGGGAAGTTTAAACACTGGATGCAACAAGGGTGCACCTTAGAGGCTAGGATGGTGAAGCTCCCTCTCCCATACCTGGGACAGGTAGTCAGGAGGGGCTAGTTCTTGGAAAAAGTCATTATACTGGGAAAGGTGGGTCAGAGAAAGAGAGAAAGATCTTCAGGATGAGCTGACAGAGTGAGTGAAACAAAGCTTATTGAAGATGGCTCATAACAGGGTAGAGTTCAGTTCTGTTGTTTGCAGGGTTACTATGAGTCATAGTTGACTCCATGGGAACCTAACAGCAACAAAAAATGAAACCCACTGTAGAGCTGTTTCTGAATCATGACAGCCTCCCATCTGGTTGGTTCCTGAGGCTGTAAATCGTTATGAGAGGAGACTGTCCATCCCTCACTCCTTCCCACTACCCACCTTGGCTTTTCCTTTTCTAGTAGCAGTCTGATAAATTATGCAAGATGACACCAAGGCTCCCTAAACAATGCATAGACAAGAAAGTCTTATTAGAATGGTAACAGCAATATGTATACAATGTAAACATCTAATCCATCACATGCCACATTTTAGATTTGTTTTAACACAATGGGGGGGGTGTTAATAAATGGAACAAGACTGATCGTGAGAGTTCCGGATATTATTCTACTTTGATATATGTTTGGAAGTTTCCATCATAAAATGATTACAAGCCTATTAGCTGAACCTTCCAACAAGGCAGGAGATAATCACAAACTAAGTGAACCATTAATGCATATTAAAGGAGCGTCAAGAAGTGCGATGCACC